ATGGTACATACACACAATGGAATACTATGCAATGTTAAAGAATAAAGAAGAATCCACAAAAACATCTTATAATGTGAATGAACCTGGAGGACGTTATGAGTCCACTAATATAAAATGTCAAGGAAAGGCTCACACACAAAAAGTAGCAATTGATGGTTGTCAAGGATGAGAGGGGAGGGGAGTGAAAAATCACCATCTAGATAACAGACATGTATTGTCTGGGTGAAGGAAAAGGCAATATATAATAAGGAAAGGGGGAGGTGTATGATCAGCACAGTATTATCAAGGCAAAGGAAGATACAGAGAGATACACATGAGTTACAGACAAAAGCAAATACTATTACATATACAATCTCTCAGTATCAGTAATAACAGTAATTTACAAGTGGATACATAGATACACAAACTGAACAAGTACAGGTAGGCAAACGGGACTACGCCCATAGCAATATACAGGTTTGGCAGAGGATATTTCTACATATGCATCTGTATGTACTGTAAATAGGTTGTTGCTGTTAGGCACCATTGAGTTGGCTCCAACTCAAAGCGACCCTATGTACAACAGAACAAAACACTGCTTGGTCCTACACCACCCTCATACTCCTTGCTATGCGTGGGGCCACTGTTGCAGCCACTGTGTAATCCATCTGATTGAGGGTCTTTCCCTTATTCTCTGACCCTATTTTACTAAGCATGATATCCTTTTCCAGGGAAAGGTTCCTCCTAACAACACGACCAAAGTACAAGAGATGAAGTCTGGCCATTCTCTTTTCCAAAGAGCATTCCAGCCACACTTGGATCTTCCAGGACAGATCTGTTCATTCTACCGGTGTTCATGATTTTTTCAGTTTTCTTCGCAAACACCAAAATTTAAAGACGTCAAGTCTTCTTCAGTCTTCCTTATTCACTGTCCAGCTTTCACAAGCATTTGAGGTGATTGAAAATACCATGACTTCAGTCAGGTGCACCATAGTCTTCAAACTGACATCTTTGCTCTTTAACACATTAAAGAGGTCTTTTCCAGCAGATCTGCTCAATGCAGTATGTCAACTGATCTCCTGACTAATAAGTACTTCCATGGGTGTTAGTTGTGGATCCAAGTAAAATGAAATCCTAGACAACTTCAATCTTTTCTCCATTTATTGTGATGTTGCTCACTGGCCCAGTTGTGGATTTTTGTTTTCTTTATGTTGAGGTGTAATCCATACTGAAGACTGTAGCTTTTGGTATTCATCAGTAAGGGCTGAAAGTCGTCTTCATTTTCAGCAAGCAAAGCTGTGCTATCTGCACATCGCAGGTTGTTAATGAGTCTTCTTCCAATCCCAATGCCACGTTCTTCATATAGTCCAGCTTCTTGGATTATCTGCTCAGCATAGAGATTGATTAAGTATGGTGAAAGGATACAACTCTGACACACACCCTTTGTGATTTTAAACTGTGCAGTATCCCCTTATTCTGTTCGAATGTCTGCCTCTTGGTCTATGTATCAGGTTCCTCATGAGCACAATTAAGTGTTCTGGAATTCCCATTCTTTGCAATGATGTCCATAATTTGTTATGATCTACACATTCAAATGCTTTGCATAGTCAATAAAACATAGATAAATGTCTTTCTTATATTCTTTGCTTTCAGCCAAGATCCACCTAACATTAGCAATGATATCCCCCTCGTTCCAAGTCCTCTTCTGAATCCAGCTTGAATTTCTGGAAATTCTCTGTCTATACAATGCTGCATGTAATAATAATAATATTGTTCAGTAATTTCCACATCCTGTTGGATCACCTTTCTTTGGAATGGGCACAAATACGGATCTCTTACAGTTGGTTGACCATGTCTTCTAAATTTCTTGGCAGAAATGAGTAACTGCCTCCAGTACTGCATCCACTTGTTGAAATATCCCAGTGGGTATTCTGTTAACTCCTGGAGCCTTGTTTCTCACCAATTTCCTCAGTGCAGCTTGGAGTTCTCCCTTCAATACTATTGGTTTTTGATCATGTGTTACCTCCTGAAATAGCTGAACACTGACCAATTCTATTTGGTACAGTGACTGTGTGTATTCCTTCCATCTTATTTTGATGCTTCCTGCATCATTCAATATTTTGCTCATAGAATCCTTCAATATTACAACTCAAGTCTTGAATGTTTTCTTCAGTTCTCTCAGCTTGAGAAATGCCAAGCGTATTATTCCTTTTTGGTTTTCTAACTTGAGGTCTTTGTACATTTCATTGTAATACTTTGTCTTCTCAGGCTGCCCTCTGAAACCTTCTGTTTAGCTCTTCTGCTTCATCATTTCTTACATTCACTTCAGCTATTCCCTGTTTACGATCAAGTTTCAGAGTTTCTTCTGACATTCATTTTGATCTTTTCTTCCTTTCCTGTCTTTTTAATGACCTTTTGCTTTCTTTGTGTATGATGTTCTTGCTATCATCCCACAACTTGTTTTGGTCTTTGGTCATTGGTGCTCAATGCGTCAAATCTATTCTTCAGATGGTCTCTAAATTCAGGTGGGATATAATGAAGGTCATATTTTGGCTCTTGAGGACTTGTTTTAATTTTCTTCAGCTTCAACTTAAACTTGCATAGGAGCCACTGATGATCTATTCCACAGTCAGCTACTGGCCTGGTTATGACTAAAGATACTGAGTTTCTCCATCACCTCTTTCACAGATATAGTCAATTTGGTTCCGGTGTATTAGATCTGGTGAGGTACATGTGTATAGCTACCGTCTATGCTGTATTTGCAATGAATAAATTGTTGCTCTTGCAAAATCCTATCATGCAATCAATCTCCAGCGTCATTTCCATCACCAAGGCCATATTTTCCAAGTACCAATGTTTCATCTTTGTTTCCAGCTTTTGCATTTCTATCACCAGCAATAATCAATATACCTTGATTACATGTTTGATCAATTTCAGACTGCAAAAGTTGGTAAAAATCTTCAATTTCTTCATCTTTGACTTTTGTCGGTGCATAAATTTGAATAATAGTCATATTAACAGGTCTTCTTTGTAGGCATATGGCTATCATCCTACCATTGACAGCACCGTATTTCACGATAAATCTTGAAATGTTTTTTTTGACAATGAACACAGTATCATTCCTCTTTGAATTGTCATTCCTGGCATAGTAGATCATACGATTTTCTGATTCAAAATGGCCAATATCAGTCCATTTCACCTCACTAATGCCTAGGATATCAATCTTTATCATTCTATTTCATTTTTGACAATTTCCAATTTTCCTAGGTTCATACTTCTTACATTCCATGTTCTGATTATTAATGAACATTTGCAGCTGTTTCTTCCCATTCTGAGTCGTACCCCACCTGCAAATGAAGGTCCTGAATGATTTACTCCACCCACTTCATTAAGATTGACTCTGTTCTGAGAAGGCAGCTCTTCACCTTCATATTTTGAGTGCCTTCCAACATGAGAGACTCATCTTCCTGAACTATATCAGACAATGTTTCACTGCTATTCATAAGGTTTTCAGTGGCCAACTTTTTCAGAAGTACGTGGCTCTGTCCTTCTTCCCAGTGTGTCTTAGTCTGGAAACTCCTCTGAAACTTGTCCACCATGGTGGCCCTGCTGATATTTGAAACACCAGTGGTATAGCCTCACAGCAACACATAAACTACCACAGTATGACAAACTGACAGACAAGTGGTGAAATGTAAATATATCCATACATATAGTAACACACAGGCAAAGCTATGCAAACTTCTTACCCATAACAAATTACCTTTACGAAATGAGTCATTAGGCTTGGGGTTTTGGGACCACAGTCTCAGGGGACAATTAAGTCAATTGCCATAACACAGTTCACAAAGACAATGTTCTATACCCTACTAGGTGAGTAGTGACTGGGGTCTGAAAAGCCAGCAAGTCGCCATCTAAGGTGTAACTATTGATCTCTCCCTATCTGAAGGAAAGAACAGTGAAAGAAATCAAAGGTGCATGGAAATAAATAATCTAAAGGAATAATAGACATATTAACTTCAATCTCCATGATCCTGAAACTAGAAGTATCAGATGCTGCCAGGCTACCAGTATTGACCACTGTGAAAGAGAGCACAATAAGGTCTTAGACTGAGTGGGAGAAAAATGTGGAACAAAATTCAAAATCATAAAGACCAGGCTTACTGGTTGAACAGAGACGGGTGGAACCCTCAAGATTATAACCCGTAGACACCCTTCAAGATGAAACTGAACTCATGCCTATGGCTCAACTTTCAGCCAAACAACAGACAGACCTCTTAGAAGGTGAATAGTAACAATCAGGGAGGTACACACCCCTTAGAACAACTAACCAAGGGAAATCACAAGGGCAGCATTTGTCCAGCAATAAAGTTCCGAAGGTAAGAAGGGACGAGAAAGAAGGACAAACGGAAACAGCAAACACAGGGGGAAATAGGATGAATGCTATTATTACCAAACAAAATATGTATGAATTGTTGAATGGAAAACCAAAGTATGTGACCTTTCACTCAAATCACAATAAACAGTTTTAAAAAACCCAAAGAAACAAAAATATTATGCTAAGTGAAAGAAGCTAGACACAACAGATCACATGTTGTATGATTCCACTTATATGAAATATCCAGAACAGATACATCTATAGGGACAGAAATCAGATTGTTGGCTGTCAGGGATTAGGGAAGTGAAGAATAGGGTGTGATTGTTTAATAGGGAATGAGGGCTTCTTTTTTAGAAACAGAAATGTTTGGAAACTAAAAATAAATAAATAAAAATTAAGAAACAATTTAGAGAAGATTCTAGTCAATGGATCATGTATCTACAAGCCTCCGTTTTAGAGAAACGGTGAATTACATCTGAGAGAAGAAATACCAGCTAGTTTCTCGAAGAAGAAATTTCCTAAGGCCTTTGAGAAACGTAAGATTTCTGCTTGCCAAGTAAAGATACCCAACTAAGCCAATCACTGGCCATTTGTTCTTCCTCCACATCCCCACCCCCTTCCCAGCTAAGTTCCTTTAACTCACAGGAATCATTGACACAGAGGTCTTCCCCTTTGCCACAGTACTGCTTGCCCTTGGTTCGGAGGTTGGCCCTCACTGGATTGTCATCGCTAGGTCTGAGGATGACACTGAAGATCTGCTTTCCAGTCCACAGGGTGACAGGCTGAAGGAGACAAAGGAAGTCAGAGTATCAGCTGGAAAGCTTAGTCTCAAACAGCCTTCATGCAAATAAGGCAAGACTGACTGTATAATTCAGACTTGGTTTACAAGCACCAGCACAGTTAGACTAACAGCACCAATACAGCCATATGGATGCAGACAGACATGTATACACACATGGCTATTATACAAACCTTTAATATTGTAGGAGGTGGAAGGCGAACTTTAATTTTCTCATCCTTGCCAACTAATATAGAAGCAATGATTTGGCAAGCCTTGGCTCGGTCAAAGAAAGTGTCCTTCAGAGTGAGGAGATAGGCACCTGAGAATTTCAAAGAACAAAACAAAGAAAAGAAATGAAATTGTATGTGTATGGGGGAATATGTACACACACACACACACACACACATATAAATTTTAAAATAAATAATAAGTTAAACATACAGCTATCTGTTTACCAGCTCTCTCCTCCAACTACAACCTAACCTCCAGACATTAAGGGACTTTATTAACTGCTGTATCACCAGTGCAGTCCCTGGGTAGTGCAAACAGTTAACACACTCAGCTGCTAACTGAAAGGTTGGTAGTTCGATTCTACCCAGAGGCACCTGAGAAGAAAGGCATGGCATCTACTTCTGAAAACCAGCCACTGAAAGCCCTATGGAGCAGTTTTACCATGACATACATGAGGTCGCTGTCAGAGTAGACTTGATGGCAACTAGTTTTTTGTTTTGGTATCTCCAGTGCCCAGAACAATGCCTGGTCTATGGCAGGAGCTCAATAAATACTTGAAGAAATGAATAACCAACCAATGAGGAATATCTCAAATACGTTCACAACCAAACTTAGAAAACAAACAATAAAATTAAATAGTAATTAAATAGTTTGCCAAGTTGTCATGTGAAAAACTAAATAATCACTGCACTACACAGTTAGAAGTCTCTTTTTTGAGTGAACAGTACAAACTCACCTGTCAGAAAATCCTGAATAGCAGCAATCAGTGGTTCCCCATTCCTCGGGGTTACAAGATTTGCTTTAGTCTAAAGGAAAAATAGATAGGTTAGTCATTCTTGTCCTGCACAACAAGGGCTTCAAATTGTTATAAAGAAATAAAGGGTAGCAGAAAGATGATGAGGTTGAGAAAAGAAAGCCAGGTGCTTATTCCCAGAGTTGTCCCAGTTCCTTCAACTGTCAATGTGAAAGAATGAACACCAGCAAGATTACCTCAGAGGTTCCTATTAAAATGAAAATGAAACATTGAGTACACTTGTATTAGAATCATGTAGAGAATACTACACATGTAAGACATTATTATTATAGATAAACTCACTTCTCCAAAGAAAATATACTTCTGTGAATGACTGAGTAGCACTGTGATTGATAACTTTGACATCAACCAATTCCACTCTTAAAAATGATGACAGAACTGTCTGTTTTGGTTAAGACATTAAATTTTAAAAACAAACAATTCAACAACAGAATTTAATAAACATTTGATAAGTGCCTACACTGGATTAAAAAGGTGCTACTTAATATACCATTATTCTGAGCATGAGAGTACGCTGTGCTACTCTGGATGAGGCTGCACATGTGCATTCATGTTTTCTGGACCTCCTCAACCACAGTGACAGGTCCTTAAAGCAGAGGGCCCTACCTGCCCTTTTTTTAAAATTGTGATTTGGGTAAAACTTTACAGAGCAAATTCACTTTCCATATAGCAGTTCACAAACACTTTGTCTCATGACAATGACAATTTACCCCAATGCAACAGCTCCCCTCCTATTTCCTCCCGATACTCACCTCTTTCCTGTGCCCATCCCTCCATGACTCCTGCCCCCTGAGCTGTCTCCCTGTGCATAAGCAGCCCTTCTTTCTCCCATGATTGCTCTTTTCAAGGAGTGAGGAGTGTATCTACCTCAAGTAAATGTTCAACTCATATGCCTGCCTTTTGTTTGGCTGGAAGCCACAAGTGTGGGTTTAATTCCAGACCTGAAGGGCAGCTAGGGGCCATAGTCTCAGAGGTTCCACCAGGCTCTATCAGACCAGCAAACCTGGTCCCCGCCCCCCACCTTTTTTTCTCCAAATGATTTTGAGTTTTGTTCCACATTGTTCTGCCTCTCTATCCAAGATCTCCTACATAGATCCCCCTCTGATTGGCTGACAGGCACCATCTAGTTCTTCTGGTCTCATAGTTGTATAGGCTGCAGAGCACATGTTGTACCAGTTGCTAGGACTAATTGTTTCCATGAATATTTGTTTTTCTTCACTATTCTTTGCTCTGGAGGAGGAGAGAACCATCATTGCCTCTAGATGGCTGCTTGCAAGCTTTTAAGATCTCAGTTGCTACTCGCCTAAGTAGGAGGTAGAACAATGTTTTGCATAGTATGTTATGACAATTGAGCTTAATGTACCCTGTAACTATGGTCCAGAGCCCCCTGGTTCAACTACTCAGTCCCTCTCAGTACTGGCTGTAACGAAGTGACTACAACCTTGTCCCCTGTCAGCTCTACTATACACCTGGGAATTTGTACAGATCATACAAATACACTTGTAAGACCACTGTCTGTCAACCCTATACATGGTCTTGGGTACACTCCTCCCTGTTCTCTTCACCCAAATCAATACTTATCTCTACCTATCTAACGGTGTTCCCTCCCCTCCCCTTCCACCCCTGGTAACCAACAAAGAAAACTTCCTTCCATAGATAAGCCTTTCCTTGACTTTTACAACAACAGACTGATACAATATTTGTCCTTCTGTGATTGACTTATTTCACTCAGCATAATGTCCTCCAAGTTCATCCCCATTAAGCGGTGTTTTGCAGATTCTAGATTATTCTTTAAGGTTGCATAGTATTCCATTGTGTGTATGCATCATAGTTTGGTTATCCATTCTTCAACTGATGGACACCTAGGTTGTTTCCATCTTTTGACTATTGTAAATAGTGCTGTGATGAACATGGGTGTGCATATGTCTGTCCTTGTCATGGCTCTCATTTCTTTAGGATATATACATAGTAATGGAATGGCTGGGTCAAATGGTATTTCTAATTCCAACTTTTGAAGGAATCACCATACTGCTTGGTACAACAGTTGTTGTACCATTTGACAGTCCCACCAGCAGTGTATGAGAGTCCCAATCTCTCCACATCCTCGTCAGCACTTGTTATTTTCTGTCTTGTTTAACTCTGCTACTAGTGCTGAGGCAAAATGGTATCTCATTGTTGTTTTGATTTGCATCTCTCTAATGGCTAACGGGGGAGCTCTGGTAGCATCGTGGCTAA